AAATCGCATGTATGCTCATCATCCCCCTCACTTCCCCTCCCTTCTCTCTCTCTCTCTCTCTCTCTCTCTCTCTCTCTCTCTCTCTCTCTCTCTCTCTCTCTCTCTCTCTCTCTCTCTCTCTCTCTCTCTCAGACACACACGCACACACAAATATACGCACGCACACACAGGCATTTTGGTTCCAGATCGAAACAGTCGATTTTCACGTATATGAGAGTAACACCCATGCTTTCCACTTCAAATTTTCTCAGTCTAAATTTTAAGTAACTGCTATGATTTTCAGATATACAAACATTGAACCTGTTTGTGTTCATTTTTACTCAGTGAGATATACCAATATCCTACAATTCGATAGCTCATTATTTTCTCACACGTGCGTGTTATGTGAACTACTGAATTCATTTTATTATATAATAGGTTGGCTAACGTGACTTGATTATGCATAATTGTGGAAAAAATTATTAGGGATAAAAAATTCCTGAAAAATATCATCTACTAGTGGATGTTTTATGAATCATTCTGGTAGCTGATAACCTTTGGAGTACGAGATGTTTTGTGATGACTGATTATGAACGATTACATTTACAGTTATGCATACATTAAGTATTTGACTTAACCTTGTCAAAAGTTTAGATATGCTTAGTATGCTTTTACTACGTGTTTTGTGGTGATTATTTACTTACAACAATGGTATTTTAATTGTTGTCGCTTTCAACGTACCGTGAAGACTTTGATTAAAAACTTGATAAAGTATGCCAATCCGTCAAACTCAATAATGCTTTAAAAGTTACTATTTTATGAACGATAGAGGTTCGGAAACAAGACAGTATGATACGACCAGAAAGATACATAGAAAGAAGTATTTGTTTTGTTCTCAGTCGGCTGAACAAACGATTTTGATATGGCGTAGGGATTCGTAGAGGCAGTCTGGTTGAGACTTAATCATAATGTATAAAAGAAGCGCTTTTCTCAGTCTCAGAAGAAAGTACGAATGCCATTATATATATATATATATATATATATATATATATATATATATATATATATATATATATATATATATATATATATATATATATATATATATATCCCTCGTCTACGCTTTATAAATATATTTAGCTTTACGATATGAATGCAATTAAAGACACATTGGGATTTATACAAGTCTGACTGACTGAGAAGAATTAAAGTCGCCTATGCTAACTAAAAGCTTTTGCGACTCGTTAATACTCAATACACCAATCGATCGAGTGTCAGCAAACCTGTGTTTCTTTTTTTGTTGGGGGGTATGGTCACACATTGTTAATATTAGTTTTTGTTTTTAATGGCGGAGGGACTAAAGGGATGAGGTAGTTTTGTACGGTAGTGTCATTGAATGAGGCCTTATATTGCCAATGGAAGTGCTTCCCTTGTATATAAAAGTAGGGGTTGAAAGTAGAAATATGGGTGGGATGGGGAGGACGACGGGGAGTCTTGGTGGAAAATCTGTTGGCAACACAGGCGTTTTGTTTCCAGGATTCCACCCAGGTGTTGCTAGTATATTTTTCCTAGCAACTGTTTTAGGCCTCTTGTGTTAGTAAAGGTGAGGGTGGAATAAGAGAAAAGTAAAGAGAGGGCTTATAGTAGAAAGAGAGATTTTGCATGGAATAAGAGGAAAGTGAAGAGAGGGCTTATAGTGGAAAGAGAGATCTTGCATGGAATAAGAGGAAAGTGAAGAGAGGGCTTATACTAGAAAGAGAGATCTTGCATGGAATAAGAGGAAAGTGGAGAGGGCTTATAGTGGAAAGAGAGATCTTGCATGGAATAAGAGGAAAGTGAAGAAAGGGCTTATAGTAGAAAGAGAGATCTTGCATGAAATAAGAGGAAAATGAAGAAAGGGCTTATAGTGGAAAGAGAGATCTTGCATGGAATAAGAGGAAAGTGAAGAAAGGGCTTATAGTAGAATAGTAGAAAGAGAGATCTTGCATGGAATAAGAGGAAAGTGAAGAAAGGGCTTATAGTGGAAAGAGAGATCTTGCATGGAATAAGAGGAAAGTGAAGAAAGGGCTTATAGTGGAAAGAGAGATCTTGCATGGAATAAGAGGAAAGTGAAGAAAGGGCTTATAGTGGAAAGAGAGATCTTGCATGCAAATGAATATAGACCGATAAATGGACAGCTAGGCAAGAGTTTGGAAACAACTAAAAAATTTATTGAGAGAGGGGGGAGGGAAGGGGGATTAAATCAGGTCAAGTTAATTATTATTACATAACAAACCGACTATATAAGAAAATTAATTCAGTATTTCACAGAACACGTATGACTTTTATATATCCTAACGAATAGAAATGAACGCAAACATGTTCCAGGTTTGTTTAACTAAAAATCTTGAGTTTTTTGTTCACAAATTAAAACCATTGTGAAAATCATGCTTCACCATGTTGTACAAAAGTTTCCTTCAAATTCATTTGTAACATTATCAAGTTACTGTAATGATTATGATGACTATTTCCATTTCGCTGAGCACGTAACCAAATCCGGAAGTGACGCAAACCTACATAAAATTGACATAGTATGCAGTGACATTTCTAAAATTGCATTAATTTGCATAGCAAAGATCAAAACACACGACAGTTAGAGAAACATCAACAGTATGTGCCTCTTACAGAACCAAGAATACGCACAGAAGATAATGAAAACGATGTAATGAAGCACTTAAATAAAGCCACACCTGGCTGTAATTCTTGATTAGCAGCTTTACTTCTTCATTGTCCTACATGGGACTAAAATAAGTACAAATAACTCAACTCTTCACCAGAATAGTGCGTTGAACTGCCAAAAATTTAGACCCAGCTCAGCCGTGGAATAAAAACTCTGCAAATCGGGGTCTACGCTTTTTTTTATTTGGGTGCGCCTTATTCACGTGAAAATATATAAATTTTAATATCTAAATAATAATGCAAAATGTTCAATGCAGAATAGCAAAATACATTCGGTCACACAGGTTTTAACACGAATGTATGATTTTACATTCGAATTCCAGCATTTTGACTAGATAAATATAATTATTTGAAAAATGTATAGAAAGATTTATGCAATGACATTTAGATCGGGTCTTATTGTAACCCAAATTTTAAAAAGTTACATATATGTTGTAAGATCTATGCAGCAAAGCACGTGGTTATTCGTGAAAAGAGTCATGCTAAACGTGAAATAACTTTCTAAACAGTGTTAAACATGTGCATTCATTTGTCTAAATAACATTTAATGGATCTTTCAGATTACAAACCTACTTAGCTTTTAGGAAAAAGATGTAATAACCTTGAAGGACTCTTACTTCAAACATGAGGCTGTAAAATCCGGAAAAATCTCTCACAATAATAAGCATGACATAGAACGAAATATTCAAGGTTATTATAAAAATAGCCTCATGTTCCATACAAATATTTAAAAACAAAATTGATGGCTTGGTTGAAATTTCTTTAAAGAAAAAACGACTTTTTTTCCTTTCTTCAGTATTCTGATGAAGAATAATAAATGCAGCTTAAAGCAAACAAACATTTTAACACTGAAAACAAAAAATACGCTGACTTGGAGAAAATATAAGGGCCATTTATACCTTGTCTTAAATTTTCCGAAATATTGACATATTCCTTGGCTAAAATATAAAGCGAGTTACACAATTCCTTCTCATCTTGGAAATATTGCGTGCCGTTATGTACTTAAGTTACTGTCAACTTGTGTATTCTACAAACTGGAAACCTGGAATTACTGCGCCATCATGAAATATCGTTTCCTATAATCGGAACTACCCCAGACTTTGAAATGTGTTGAATTCGTTCATAAATAAGGTATTCCAAACCAAAAAACATGGCAAATCTACCTATTTTGCAATTATGAAATTATGAAATATGTGCAAATTTGTTCTTGCTATAAAATTTTGTACAAATTTTCTTCATCTTAAAGAGAGCCGTTCATCTTATAAATTAAAATAAAAATGCTCCAACAATCCTGTAAATCTCGTAAATTTACTTACCTTTGGTTATTGTACACAAGATCTCTTCCGTACGGAGCGTAATCCCAATCTGTCTCGACGGCTGCTAAAAAAATCTGTCGAACTTTTCCAAAAACGGAGTCAATATTAAAGCAAGATAATATCAACAGCAAAATAAACAGTGATGAATCCATCTTCTCACAAGAGGTTGGAAACTCGGAAAAGAATCCACGGGCGTTCCAGCTGAGAAGCTACTCAGAAGGGAGTTGTGTCTCCAACTGTGTGACTGGCAGACAACTACAAATTATGAAAGCGAAGATATGTGACAGACAAATGATCGCCATTTGTCACGCTTGAATAGTGAAGGTCAGTGTTTTCTGTTCGGAATCTACCGTCTCAGATATCTAAAGGACAGCTCGACTCTTATCTATGTTTTTTGTCATAGATAAACATGTGATGTACAGTGAATATTGCACATAAAATATAATACCTTCATTTATGTTCTGTGAGACTCGTGGTTGATTTGAAAAATCATGAGTATCGCTTTACGGTATTTGAAGACCGTTGAAACTAGAAAAGGATAAACATGTTTTGTTTCTTTTTTATTCCTGAACTAGGGAAATATATTAATTTTGACTTTTATTGGAATGTAAATACTTATATGTACAAAAAGAAGGATAGAACATTTCATCGGACACCAAAGACATTTGAACGCTATAACATTTAAGAACACTAAGTGACTTGGCACGTAAATAACTTAACGAGAGGACAAATTGCTTCAGAAATGTGTGTGTGTGTGTGTGTGTGTGTGTGTGTGTGATTTTGAATTTTCAGTCATATCGCTTCGATGTCTGCAGTCTACAGTTTATAGCAATGTCTAGCACTGGGACATTATGCCGCAGACACGTGGCATCATGTCCCATCCAATCATATTGACCTGACATCAGGCCGACTAGTCTAACACTAACCTCTTAATGCTGAACGCCAAAGCGAGGCAGCTTCAAATACCATTTTTATCAGTCTTTGGTATGACTTGATCGGGGTTCGAACTCACGACATCCCGCATCCGAGGCTGACGCTCTAACCACTTAGGCTATTGGACCGGTCAAGGCCTCTGAAATGGGTTCAATCAAACTCCTTTGGGCATGAAATAAATACAACCAAATCAAAACGTGCTCTGATCATTTACGTGAGTGGTGTATCCATTATTCCCCCTCCCCACTACTATCCATGAAGATAACAGAGGGGAATATAGCCATTGCTGCGTCCATTTGTCAGTCTGTTAGTTTTTTCGTTTCCGATGCGCAGCTTTTAAAAGGTTCAAAGTGTTTCATCCAAATTTAGGACACAGAGACCCGACCCTATCAAGGCGAACCGCCTTGGATCCCGCACATCCTAGGGCCAGGCCTGAGTACACCTGTCGAACAAATTGCTTAGAGGTGACATTGGATATTTGAATTTTCCACATTCAGTATTTGTGATGCAACCATAAAAACTAAGTGCAGCGTGATTAGTATATAAACTGACAGTGCTAGACGATAGGATACCAACACAAGTAGTAAAGGAACAACGGCCAGTGGACCACAGTGTGCTTACAATACGCAGGAAAGGGTTTGTGTATGTAGATGTCACCTCTAGATAACTGTTGTTATCTAAGATACTATCCCTTTTATTGCTTGCACAATTTCATAATATACATCTGAAGAAATGCATTTTAATTGTTTATTGCTAGATAATGTTCCCCTGAAAGAACGAAGACTAGCAACAATTTAAACACGTTATACATTAAAGCAATTGTGAAAATTAGACATAATGCAGGGACCATGCTAAATAACACGATATTGGTCAATTCATTAAGATAAGATAGTATTTATTTTGACAGTTAGATAAATCATACAGTGCAAATTGGATCTAATAGCCTTGTCCGAGACATAGAGAGTCAGCCGACCAGACTGGCTTGCATTTCGTCGTTCCACCATCTGAAATAACGCCGCTCGGCTTGGGAAGGTGAGAACCAATACGTTACTCGTGGATACGTATTAAAATCATTATTACCCCAACGACATTGAAACTGAAAACAAAACAAAACAAAAAAGCTTGTTTTGTTTTTTAAAAAGCGTCAAGACTATTGTAATATATTCCGTTTATCCTAAATCCTTGTTACATATTTTCCGTACAGTGACCGTCTGTCAGAGGTGGGTTGTGGTATGAAAATTTTAATGGAACAAACTCAAAGGTCAAATTATATAAAAATTGCAATTACAGTTGAATTTTAATATTTGTGACCAAACTTTATGTATGCATTCTTAGATGAAGGATTAATAATATACGTAACAAGTTATGAACTGCGACCACTGACCCAGAAGGGCCATATTCAGCCTAGAAATAGTTTCAGTGTTGCCCATGTCATGACTATATTTAAGAAGGCTGGGTGGGTGTGGGTTGAGGAGAAGTCATTATTGGTCGTCTGCATGGGATGTTTAAGGGAGAGGACAGTGGTCAACATAAATTTAACTTTTGTTTTGACCAAACTTCGTATCCACAGCCATGAAAAGGAAAAGCAAAGGACACATAGTTTATTTAATTGATATTTAATTATGACCTCTTGATCGCTGTTGGGGTGGATTGTGGGTGGGTGGGAATCATATGCAGTGAAAAGCGCGGGGTTTTAAGTAGTAGAGAAGGGGAACGCGGTGGATGAAAAACACAGAAAACTGGATATACCCCCTCTCTCTCTCTCTCAATCGATTGATCGATCGATCGATCAATCAAAATTATACTTTAATATAACTTCGTGCAGTTCAGTATACATTATTTTCTCCAGATAATTTGTACGTGAAACATATTAGAGAATGTATCAAATTTCTTATAGGGATTCTTTACCATATTTGGCAAATTTTGTAGCCGGAACCATAATCGAGGTCTAGAAATTCGAGCTCAAAATTCCTCTTACACTTTAAATTTTAGTTTCTGTGAACGATCCCTTCACTAAGAAAGCGTCATTTCGCAAATGTCTTCCTTGAGTCGTAAAAGTAATTTTGTCAATGCATACACAAGTATGGCGTGAATATCTACCGTATGCGAAACGTGTTCTTTTTTTCCCTTTTTCTGTAAAATAAATATAGATATATGTGTACTGGGAATACATTTTTAAGTAACAGTTGAAGCAGAGTGAGAATATATCTAATCCGGATATATATCTAAAATATATCTAATTTTTTGACCATCGTTGTAAAATATCATATACGGCAAATATGTGTTCTCATTACATTGTTCTTGTAACCAAAACCACGATGACCGCGCATTAACATAACGGGGAATAAGTTGATGACTAAATAGAAGTCTGTTTCCTTATTTGTTTTTAAAAGGTACTTAATATGTAAAAATGTACATACTTGTCACTTACCAAACAGAAATATGCTTCATACGTCGACTCCAAACTATGACCTTTCACTTTTTGACAGGGCAACCATTAGGAATGTTATTTGTGTGGATAAAGTTATGTGCCAAACCGGCTTAAACATTATTGTTTGTTTTGTGGGATTTATTGCGAGGGGGCACCAGATAGATGTCCCTCTCTATTTAGCCAAAAAATATTTGCAAAATTATGTTTTATGTATCCCCTTCGATGTGTCGCAAGTGTGTTTATTTTATTAAAGAATTTTGTTTATAAAAACCCACATTTTGGATGGGGTATTTTTTAAAATTCCTAATGTTATATAAAAGGTGACTTCCCTCTTCGATTTCGTTTATCAAATTGGAAAAGTTCATCTTTTAAGTGACATTTGTCAAAAGTCCCCATGTCTAGTGTGTGCTATATGTGTATTGCTATATTGTGTATATGCTATAAATGTGTATATGTAAGGAAAAATTAAAAAGCCAAATTTTCCTTTTAAGTTGTCATTAAATTTGTGATAAATATTTTATTTAAACATTTTGAATTTTTGAATTTTGCATGAGAAATGGTGTATTGTTTTAATAAAATAAAGACCAGGTGTTTTTAGTGAATGCTATATTGTGTGTCGTCGTTGCTCATATTCCAATTTTATTATAATAATAATGCTAGCCCCTTATTTTTTTCCTATTTAAAGTTTCTTTTTCAATATAGTGGAATTTGAATCCCCATATACATTTAATTATTTTTTATTTAGATATTTTAGGATTGATTGTTTTAAATCTAGCGATTTTTGTACGTAATTTATATTAAAATAGAAGTATTTTTAGGTAATGAGCTCTCTCCATTATACTCAGTGGCATTTGTGCCCATGTTTCAATACTTTTATTTACTTTATTTTTATATATTTTTCAAGTTTTCCTTTTCTTCATTTTTTCCAAAATATATTCCAAGAGCTCTGACCTTATATTTAGTTAGTTTGGGCGGGGAGTCCAAGACGGCTCCCTATTCAGTTTCTTATTTTCTAAATTTCTGTATTATCCTGGTTGATTTTCAACCCTGATGCTTTACCAAAATTTTCGTACTCTTTTTCTAAGTGTATAAAAAAATTTTGGGTCTTTTATAAAGTTTATACAACCCTCTGCATGTTGGATCATTTTAAATTCTTCTCTCAGATTTGGTATCTGAATTCCTTCAATACGTTTATTAGTTCTTATCTTTATACTCAGTATTTCTATCGCTATTACATACATTGACAGAGGACAGCCTTGCTGCACTGATCTCTGTAGTTCAAATTTTTTCCGTATTAGTTCCACTGGCCTGTATTCTGGCGGTTATATCCCCATACAGGAGTTGAGTCCCTTTTTGGAAATTATTTCCAAAGCCAAATTTTTCGAGTACCTTTTGCACATAGTTTTGTTCAATTCTGTTAAAGGTTTTCTCCTGTTCTATAAGCACAATGATGCCCCTTTGTCCCGATTTCTTAAAAAATTATATTATAGTCTTTATGTTTAAGATATTGTTTTGTATATCATTTCCCTGCGCTCCACATGTTTGATTATTATTAATTGTGTTACCCATACCTTGTTAATTCAATTTGCTATTATTTTCCTTAAAATCTTATAATCATTATTCAGGAGGGAGATGGGCCTCCAGTTTTTGTTCTTATCTATTTTCTTTATCTCCTTTTCCTTTGTATATGTACGATATCAGTCCCTCTCTCATTGTAGCTGTCATTTTATCATTGTTGAATAGCATATTGTTGTATAAGGATTATAAGATCGGCGCTAACCCACGTTGGAATTTTCTATAAAATTCCTTCGCGAGTCCGTCTCCTCATGATGTCTTCCCTTTGGCTAAGGAGATTATAGTTTTTGTTATTTCTCATATGTCCTATGTTCTGTTTTTTTTTCGCATTTAACATCCTTTAAGTACATATCTATTTGTTCTTTTATATTTTGAGTTTTATATATCATTTATTACATTTAGATTCTTATTCTCCTCACCTTCTGAATTCTTCTCTTTTAGCCAATCCTCTAACTGTAGTATATAATTCTGAGAATTTTTATGTTCTTATTTCTGTGCCTCTTCTGTCTTCCCTTTTTTCTAATTTTTCTTTCATCATTTTTTATATTCTCTATTCATTCCTTTTTTAATTTCCAAATTATCTCGTTTCTCTTTTTTTCTTAGTTCGTTTATTCTTTTTGAAAATCTTAAAGCAATTATTTTTAATTTATTTTTAAAGATATCCCACTGTTCCAATATATGTCCTTCTATTATGAAATATGTATTTATTTAAGTTTTTTTCATTGTTAAATTCTTTTGCCTCTAATAAGTTATTATTTAGTTTCCACACCCCTTTGTCCCATTTTGTCCTGTTTTTGGTTCGAAATTCCACTTCATTTAATTTGTTATCTCAGATTTTTCTATTTAAGATTTGCGAATTTACAAACTATTATTAAAACATGTTCCATAAAACTTATCAAGTCTGCTAGCTAGTCCATTTTTATGCTTGCTATGTATATGTGATTAAATTACTTGTATGTAAGGTTTAAAATTCCTTTTATTTCATTTTTGTTTCAATGTATTTAAATGCAATGAATATTTTTCTCGGATTTGGGATTCTAGTTTTAGTAGTTAGATATATTTTTATCACAAAGTTTGTTTATTCAAGACGAATATGTAATACGTGAGAATTATCACTGAGTTCGTCTTACC